TTTAACTCACAATTGTTCTCAACCCACAGCTTTGTTTTGCACTTCTCTTATTAAGGTGCATTATGTCTTGAGAAATGCATTTCAGCAAACATCATAGTGTATTTACTAATAGATACTGTATAATTAAGAAGCAGCTTCCCAATCCTCGTTCTTGTTCACCATCCATATTTGTTCTTTTGAATGCATGCTAAGCGGTTCAGCATGCTATTCTGTTCATGTTCCTGCAGGATTCATGTTTGATGTCTTGCTGCAGTCTTGAATCCAAAAACTTTGCAATCAGGATTCAGGCGAAGATACAGAAACCTGCATTGTCATGCAGTTTGATCAAAGAAGTTCTATAAACCAACAGTTGCAACAATGTTGCTCATCATTGCCAACAGTTTATATATGAAGTTCCGATCTAAATATTGAACAAAGTTTTAAATACTTGGAACAAAGATTATCAACTTTGAACTAACATCCTATTTCTGCAGTGATATATGTTTGAATGCTAAAGTGGATCTGTCATGCTTTCTCAGGTACAACTAAAGTAAAAAATCTTCAAGAAAATAATGGTTCTGTGAAAGTCAAGCTCACAGAGGAGGATTTGAAGGAGCTATCAGATGCAGTGCCAATCAACAATGTTGCAGGACAGAGGACAACAGATGCACTATTCCGTACTTCGTTTTACTTTGCTAGTACACCACCACCACCGAAGAAGTGCAGACTAGAGTAATTTGTTTAATGCAATAGGATGTCTTGTTTTATTTGGTTCCCTGTGTGTTGGAGAATTTCAAAATAATAGAAATTTTGTCCTACGATCAATTATGTAATGTACGATTGTTTGGTTTCTAAATTGGGTATGATTCTTATAATTCTACATTTGCTAGTAGAATTCGATAAGAGATGTGTTTCTTTATTGTTCAGACATAATTCCCTCTATAAATAACTATCAAGTAAGTGTAGACACGTACAATCATAAAAAATTCCAAGAAAACGTCTAACTTTTATCATTCTATAATTTATTTTCAATATATATATATATATATATATATATATAGATATATAATTGTGTTGGTTCAAAAGCTAATGTTGAATTTTTTTGTGAACTCGAACTCGATTTGAGCACGTTGAATTTGAACGCAATTTGGTCGGCTTAATTTCGACTTAAGTTCGATGTTGATTAAACTTGAATCGAGTTTTAATCTAACCAATTCATAAGCCATAGCGACCAGCTTGATTCGATTCTATAATTCGTTTTCAATATTTTTATTTTGACAAATCTTTCCATCGTGAGTACTCAATGATTCAACCCATTTTCTTCTTCTTCTTTTCCAATTTTCTTTTACTGTTTCATTTATGTTTTCTTTCTCATCCCTTCTTCTTCTCTATCTCATCCCATCAACACCACAATCTGTACCCTTCACCAGTTCCATTAGAGCCAATGTTTTCTTGCTTGTTTTTCTTTTTTCACCCGCTCTTTCTTTTTTGTCCCTTTTTCCTTTTTGTTTCTTTTCCCTCGCTTCCTTTTTCTTTTCTATTTCATCCTTTGCTCCAGCATCAACACCACGACCTTCCCCATTGGCGCCGATGCCAATGCCATCACCACCACTGCCACCGCCACTCGTATGTCGAATATAAGAACTTCCTTGTAATTTCTCAATCAGACCACCAGCAATCTTTTGCAAAATTCCAAATTGGGAAGGGTAGAAGGAGGAAAAAAAGGCTAATTAGGTTGATGAAATAGGTGTGTTTTTGGAAAGCAAATCACTTTAATTCATTATACTCTTATATCATAAAAGTGAGCTACATTCGTCGTTAATTTGGATGGATTCTGTCCATTTTCCACTATGGTTGAAACAACGAGAAATGAAGAAAAAAAGGGAGCAAAATAACATAGAGAAAAAAAACATAAGAAAGAAAGATGGTAGGAGTGCATTTAACCCATGCAATTTTTTTCCCTTCAACGTAGGGTCAAGTCATTGGTCGAAAAGGGTAATATTCTGAGTTAGAGATTCTGATGAGAGTAAAGTGATTATTTAATTGATGACATTAGCGGATGCTTTTTTCATTCGGTTAGTTCAGGTTAATGCTGCAAATTACCTATTAAGGATCATTAGTGGTAATCTTACAAAATTAGGTCCTGTTTGATAGCTCAATTCAGTATTTAAATTTAATGGATTCAAATCCTAACATATTTAAACCGTTTGATAACCAAAAATTAAATATTTGAATTAATTAAGTGGCACTGAATTTCCTAAACAAAATTTGCTCTCAAAATTAAGTGATAAGCTATTCACTTATCATTGAATATGATATGCATTCAAATATATTAGATTTAATACTTAACAAAACAATAACTTAATGAATTCAAATTTCAAGTTTCAGATTTTAATTTTATCAAACGGAGCCTAAGTTATTCTTCGAAACTTGGATGACATTTGCTTTCGATGAAGGAATATTCGTCGGTGAGGAAATAGTTATTAACCCTCTAGTAATGCTACAAAAAGCCAATGTTTTGAAACCGGACCGGATCGGTCGGTTCGATCGGTTGAATCGCAAATCGGCCATGCATCCGATCCGGTTCAATTAAAAATTCAAAGAATTAATTGAAGCGTTCAAAATCGGTCAAGAACCGGTTGAACCGGTAAAAATCGATAAAAACTAGGAGGTTCAATCAATTTTTATTAAGTATTTATTTTCTAAAATAAATATTTTAGTTTTATTCAAAAATTTTAATACTAAAATGAATAAAAAATTAGTAAATCTTTGAACCGAAGTCGAATCGATTGAATCGATCAAATCATAAACCGGAAGGTTTTTCAATTCAATCTCTGATCCGGGTTTAAAAACATTGCAAGAAGCAACATTTTGATACAGAGTCATCAATACCATGCTATTGACTTGAGGGATTGAGGACTACTCCAAAAGGCCACAATTTCATACACAAGTCATTACTACCATGCACGTGGCATCTAAAAATACTACTATGCACAAAAACCCAAAAAAAAAGTAAATTATTGAAATAGTTCCTAATTAAAAATTTAGCTAAAGTTTGGCTAAAAGTCAAATTGGTCTCTCATCTCTAAGTTTGGCTAATTAGTCATCCAATTAATTCTTTGTAGCCAATTCAGTCCTTAAGGTGTAACCACTGAAAATTTCAAGTTTTCTCCACCAAAAATAGTCTCTAATGTAAACTAGTTAACCTATGGGCAAAAATGAAAACTAACTGCTCAGCCGAGTTTAAATGCATTAAAAACACACTTACAGTAGATTTGATCCTTTAATTGTGTTCTTAATCTAAGTTAAAAGCACTAAAGATACACTTTTCAGACCAAATTAGACACATTAAAAACCAATATAAGTGTGCTTTAGTGTGTTTAAACTTGATCGAAAAATTATTTTCTATTTTTGTCCCTAGGTTGATCAGTTTACAGTAGAAAACTACTAGTCCTTAGTGGAGAAAATTCAACTTTTTTGGTGGCTCACCGCATAAGCACCAAATTGGCTACCCCCAAAAAAAAAAATGGTTGGCGTACTTAATTGGCAAAATTAAAGACGAGGGACCAATTCGGCTTCAATAAAATTGTTAGGAACTACTTCATCCCAATTATTTTGTCGTGTTTCGCAAATTCAATTTTTTACGAATAGTAGTTTGATTCTCTTTTCAGTCTTACCTCCACAAATATGATTTGTCTTTCTCAATAGACAAACATTTTGAGCATATCAAAATTGAAAGTATGATACTTTACTCTCCTTGAACTATATCACTACTATCAGTTTATCCCCTAACGTTATCTTTTAGTCATTTTACCTCTATAAGTAATTCAACTCAATGTGTTAAGAAATTTTTGGCAAAAGTACATATTTATGCTATAGCATTACTACATTGTTATTATCACTCTATCCCTTTTAATTATAATAATACAATCACTTTAATCCCTAATATTATTTTCTAGACATTTTACCTCATTATTAATCTAACTAGTATGGTCAAAAAATTTTAAATGTATTTACCCTTTTTTATATATAATTAAAAATAAAAAATTGAAATAGTTATTCTTCCTTTCGTTTTCACTTTAAGAGATCAAAAAACATAAAAATAAAAGGGTTTTCTTAAATTTTTTTTTTGCACAATTTTTAATACTAGGAAAAAAAAAGAGATAGGAAAGAATGAGACAAAAAATTAGATTTTACAAAGAAAGAAAAAAAAAGAAGAATCTAACATTATTGTATTATTTTAAAATTGTCGGGATTAAAATTGGAATTGGGCAGGAAACAGAAAAATAAAATAATTTTAAAATAATAAAAATATTTAATTCTTTCCTATTTGTATTTTTTTGAAAAAAGAATTGAGCTCTCTCTCTCTCTCTCCCCCTATCTCTTCGTCTCTCTCTCCCCTTCTTTCCATTTTTTTCAATATTAATAACTTTGCCAATAAAAAAGAGATTAATACTTTGATTTTTTGTCTTAATACTAAAAAGGAGAAGAACCACTCTAAATTTTTTATTATTTTATTATATAAATAGGAGGGTATTTTCTTCTAATATTTTTTAACTTGTTAAGTTGATTTAATGGTGGGATAAATTATCTAAAAAATAACTCTAGGGGATAAGTTGATAATGAGACTATAGTTTATGGGGGTAAAGTGATAATAATTATAAGTGCTAAACATGTCTTTCACTTTAATTAACAAAATTTTATTAAGTTTGATCGTTAGTTTTGGGGGTAAAGTGACTAAAAGGTAACATTAAGGGAAAAAATGATAGTGACACAAAATATTAAGGAGGAAAAGTGATACTAACCCAAAATATTATAATGACTCTCACTAGTCAGTAATAATCTATGTTCCTGATGGTATTCGGCTTTGGGCCATGTTCCTAATGGTATTCCGGTTTGGGCTCAAGCTTGAGGTCCATGCCAATTAAGACATGTTCCCAAAGCCTCAGCTGCACAAACTGTGATTATAACTTAAAAAATTCGCTGAAATTCCACTCTTTAATGTAGCAGTTCCAAATCTCAATACGCACTGACCCGAGTGAGATTACACAGAGTTTAGTCTGCTACTCAACAATGGCTGACCAAGTTGAGATGCCAAGAGTGAAGTTGGGTAGCCAAGGACTTGAGTTAAAGCACATTCTTGGTCATCATCTTGTTCAAAATCTTTGCTTTTTGACATGGGTTTTTTCTTGATTGTCTGTTGAATGTGTTAAGTTTATTCTTGCTGATTGGTGTTTTACAGAAAGTTCGATGATTCCGGGAAATAGTTGTGGCCCATTGTATGTCTTGGTTGAGATGATCACCTGAGAGTTGCATTTATAGTTTTTTATGTTTAAATTTGTTTTTGTGGTTGGTTATGAACTGGGTTCTGGAGTGTTGGATGGACTATTTTGGGGAAAGTTCCTCGTGTCGACCATGACCAGAGCATTCATGGTGTTGAAGGAACTGATGAGTCGTAATGTAAGAAAGCTGTTATGGCTATTTTTAGAGGTTCGACTCTGTAATTTTTCCCTAAGTGATTGGTTCTGTTTGGATTGGTGTACTTGAGAAAATACAAATAGAAAAAGAAGCAACTATTTTACTATATTTCTGAGGTTTTCTTGTTGTTAATGCTAATAAATTTTTAAGCCTGCATGTTCGTTGGTTGATTTGTTTAGTATTTGTATTTGCTTATGTGCTTTGTGTGTACCATCTCAGGTTTCAAGAATAGGTTTCGGTTGTATGGGTTTAACTGGAATATACAATGCTGCAATACCTGAGGATGATGGAATTGCAATACTCAAGGAGGCATTTAGCAAAGGAGTTACATTTTGGGATACTGCAGATATATATGGTGAGGAACATGCTAACGAGTACTTGGTTGGGAAGGTAATTCTACTGTGATCAGCATTGAAAGCGTTGTGGTTGGTAAAATGAGTATGGTAGAGATATTGAAGACTGTAAAGAATACCACCATTAGCTTCCCTTTTTTTTTCCTTCTGGCTAAATGATTCTATTATGAAGAATTATCAAAGATGTATGTTTGTCATATGTTTCTATGATGGGCTACATTTCATTTCACTTTGTATAATTGCATGTGTTTAGAAGTTGAACTGTACATTTCTAGAAACAGAGAGTTTTAAGCTGTTGCATAGGCTACTATTTGGCTGGCTGGTTATGAAACCAGGTTTACTGAACTTCCTTATATTTGTTAAAAGTTGAGACAAGTGGGAGAAAATGAGGAAATGCTTTCTGAAATCTGGTTCGCTGCTTGTAATGCTATAAAGAGATTCATTTGTTGTAATAATTTATGTAATCACCTTATCTCTAAATTCTGAAAGACAACAAGCAACATCCATATACAAGCTAAGTGTCTTTTCGGCTATAACCATGACGGTTCTTATAATTTCGAATACTAGGTAGCTAAAGCATGCGGACTTACCATCTTGAATGCCGATTTTAGCGTCATTTATGTCCTTTATGTGGTAGGATAATGCTTAAACTTGACACATTTATTTTGTTCATTGATTGTATCGTACAAAACAAATGACAGCGAAAAGAACAATAAAAGGAACTAAGAAGTAATGGACATCAAAAAGCAGTTTCAATTTTCTGTCAATTCCAGCTTGCATGATTTTACCAATGTTATCAGCTTTCTAAGATTATATATATCATTTAGTTTTCTGCTTGCAAGATCTATCTTTACTAGAGGAAGAACACACAGAAAGATTGTAGGATGGTCTTGCCTTCACAAGAAATAGTTTGAAGTCTTCTTATGGCTATGTTAGAGTTTCCTATCGTTCAGGATCCAATTGTTGCAGGCACTAAAGCAACTCCCTCGTGAAAAGGTCCAGTTGGCCACAAAGTTTGGTGTATTTAAATTTGAGCCCTCAAAAGTCACAGTAAAAGGCACTCCTGAGTACGTTCGCTCCTGCTGTGAGGGTAGTTTGAAGCGCCTTCAAATGGACTACATAGATCTTTATTATATACATTGCATAGATACTACAGTACCAATTGAAGAAACAGTATGTTCACTTCTTTTTCTTTTTCTTTTTCTTTTTAACTTATTGAGACAATGTCTTGCCCACGTTCCTTTTTATTCTACTATGAAGTGTGGGATTCCTTTTTTAATGAATAAGGAAGGCACTTGCTTAGCAAGCATGTAGTATTATATCTCTAAAGGTCTTGTGCTTGTGCTGATGGAGAAACCTTCTTATGTGGCAGATGGGTGAGCTAAAAAAATTAGTTGAAGAAGGCAAGATAAAGTACATTGGGCTATCTGAAGCTAGCCCAGATACCATAAGGAGGGCACATGCTGTTCATCCTATCACTGCTATACAGCAGGAATATTCCCTGTGGACCCGTGACATTGAGCCAGAGTTGCTACCTCTCTGCAGGTTATTTACAACCAGCTTAAGAATCTTGTGATCATTTTTGTTTCATAACTCATTCTACTCTATAATATACATTTCAAAGTATTGTCTTCTTGTCTCTTCCGTGCTTTAACAGCAAATTACTTGATAAGGAGGTCATTCATTTGCAGATGCTAGATTTTAAGTTCATGTCCTTTTTGGTTGGCTTATTCAATCATAGGGCTATAGCTACAAGTTCCTCTTTCTCCTCTTTTTCTTTTGTATATTTCATGTCCTACATTCCTTTATAAGTTTTTCCTTTCCTTGTAACAGAAGTTTGAGTTTAGATTATTCCAATTTAATTTTGAGTTTCTATACATAGGGAACTTGGAATTGGGATAGTTCCATATAGCCCCGTTGGTCGTGGTCTTTTTGCTGGCAAGGCTGTTGTTGAGAGCTTGCCTCAGAATAGTTACTTGGTTTGAAAATCAATAGACTTTGTATTGCCTTTTCTTCAATGTCAAGGCTTGTATATCTCCAATATACTGATAAATGGTCTACATTGGTTTTTTTGCAGAAATTTAGTCCGAGGTTTATGGGAGACAACTTTGAAAAGAACAAAACCATCTATTTCCGCTTAGATGCATTAGCTAAAAAGCATGGGTGCACTCCTGCTCAACTTGCAATTGCTTGGGTACTTCATCGTGGTGATGACATTGCACCTATTCCTGGTAAATAAATCACAATAGTTGTCTGTTTGATGCTAATGCACCATTGAGTCATTGAGGATGTTACACAGATTTAGAAAAAGAAACATTCATACTTGTTTTTCCTGTTGCGGGCATAAGAAATTCTTTAGAACTTCCTTCTCAACTCTGGTTGCAGTAAAATCAATATTTTATTTTTTGTGAAGTACAGATTTTTTTATTTTTTTGAGTGTAAGTAGGAGGTCTCGAACCCGGGACCTCTCACTTACACTCCTCCCCCCATACTATGCAATCCTTCCCTGCTCCCCTTGCGAAGAACAGTTGAATAAATAATTATCCTTTACTTTCTACATGCTGTGTTAGTTTTTGCTTTCAAGCGGCTTGTTTCTCTATGAAGTCAGTGAACAAGAAGTGTGGTTTTTAACATGGTGAACTCCTAGTGGGAAACTAGTCGGCACTCCAGTTCCCTAAATTAAGTTTACAATTATCAAGAACCCTCAGCTTTATTTTGCATTTCTGCTATAAAGGTGCATTTTCTGTCTTAATAGATGCATTGCAATAAAAATTATCATGTTAATACTACAATTGTTCCTTGTGCAGAGTTTTTTTGGTCCATAAAGAAATCTTGATGGTGATTTATTGTCTGTTGTCTAACTAGCTATAGATAAATACCCTGTTAAGATTACGTTAACATTTTTAAGTGCTACTGATATTTACTGCCATAGATGTTAGTTGTTTGCAGTAAATTCCATTTATGTCTCTTTCCTTAGTCAAGCTGAATGGTTTCCTGAGTATAAGGCTTTCTGCTGTAGTAGAACAAGATTCTCAAAACCTTTGAAACTTGATCTTGAAGTTTCTTGGTTGCCAGTCCGCAGAGCTTTATTATTATACATACAGTTTTAGTAGCTTTAGTTCGGAAGGAATAATGATGATGACCTAGAATTGTTTCTGTGATGTTCTCTGCTATTAGAAACCTTCTGAGCTCTGTCTGCTCATATGCACCTTTGGAATTCTTCTATATGCAAAATTACATCTTTTTCTGTTTTCTTGAAAAGTTGGATCAGACTTTATTTGCTTAGTTTGTAGACAAATGATGTTTAATTTCAAGCTTCGGCCGATGGCAAGCTAACTGGTGCTGGATTAGTTTGAGTGCATTGGACATTTTATGGAAGTGACGAATGGCAGATGTCTCTCTTTTTATGATTATCTTTATGTTTAAGTGGAATTCCATTGAGGTTAGGGTCAATTAAATGAAGCATTGCTTTAATAACAATAGCAGCTGAGATGAACTCCATGGCTCCCTGTGTTAGTCCAAGATAGTACATTTTTACCCACTAGGATAATAGAAAATGCATGGCTAAGGGATGAAGTTGCCAACAATGTACAAACTGGTGGTTAATAAATCCTGAATTGGTACCAGAAAGTGTTAGGTATCTTTCTCCTGCCATCTGTAGAGGCAATTTTGTCGTCATTTCCATAATTAATGATGGAGAACTATTACAGTCCCACTGTAATTCCTTCCCGTGCTCAAATTCGTCTCGGGTTAACATATTATATAGAGTGCCGGGGCTTTTTTTTGTTTTCTTCTTTTTGTGCTTGATTGCTTAACTAACTAGTTTCTGCAAACATGTAGGTTGGATATCCTTTCTAGTCTATGCTCGTGTCACTTTCTAGGTTCTGTCTCCTTTCCAGTCTGTCACTTTCCCCAGTCTGTTTTTTCAGTTGTATATCTGTAAATGTGATGTGATAACACATACATAAAAAGTTTTTCTATATGGACTGAGCTTGCATAAGATTGTACACATCAAAGCTTAAGCCCAATCCTAGCCTCTGGGGGTTCCAAAGGCACTATGTTTTTTATGTTCCCCCCAGTACGCCTACCTCATATCTGCACTGTATTTTGATCCTGTGAACTATTTTTCTTTTTACATATGGGTTCAGGGCAGAGGGTAAATCTATAACTCATAACCTTTATGGTTTCTATCTGTTGAAGATATGTGATCTGATATTATGGAAAGATTTGATATTGTAAATATTAAGAAAGATTTGATTATAGTATCATGTATTAATTAGATCATATGATTATAGTATCATCTATTAATTAGGTAGTAGATTGATTTAGATTAGCATGATTTTAGCATCTAAATTAGGTTACACTTGTGTATTTATATTTGTATATTGTGTAGTCCAAAGATATGAAGAAGAGTTTTTTCTCTCCTTTTTTCTTAGTTTACATGGTATCAGAGCCTTATCAGTTTGTCTTTTGACGTGACCCTATTGAGTCACTTTTAGGTTTCTTGTGTGAATTATAATGGCAGATATGAAAGGTAGTAGTAGAGAGATGAAAACAGTAATTTCTGATGTTTGTCTTTTGACGTGACCCTATTAAGTCACTTTTAGGTCTTTCTTGTGTGAATTATAATGGCAGATATGAAAGGTAGTAATAGAGAGATGAAAACAGTAATTCTGATGTTATTCTTACAACATCAAAAATTACTGAACACAAATTAAGTGGAAAAAATTTTTTGGATTGGAGTAAAACTATTCGGATATATCTGCGCAGCATCGATAGAGATGATCATCTCACTGATGATCCACCCGTTGATGGGGAAAAAAAGAAGGTTTGGCCAAGGGAAGATGCAAAACTGTTTTTCAAGTGGAGAGAACAAAGCATATCAAAATTGATTGCCACTTTGTTCGTGGAAAAATCTAACAAAACTTGATCTCAACCAGTCATGTGAGCACTGGAGAACAATTAGCTGATATTTTCACTAAACCTCTAAATGGTCTGAGAATTGATTACATTTGTGGCAAGATGGGCATGATTAACATCTATACTCCAACTTGAGGGAGAGTGTTGAAGATATGTGATATGATATTATGGAAAGATTTGATATTGTAAATATTAGGAAAGATTTGATTATAGTATCATATATTAATTAGGTATCATATGATTATAGTATCATATATTAATTAGGTAGTAGATTGATTTAGATTAGCATGATTTTAGGATCTAAATTAGGTTACACTTGTGTATATATATTTGTATATTGTGTAGTCCAAAGATATGAAGAAGAATATTTTCTCTCCCTTTTTCTTAGTTTACACTATCCATACTAAAGTGCATAATTAAGTAGATAATACCAGCTCAAACATAATACTATGGTAATGAGAATAAATGGATGAATTACAAGCAGGACAGAATCGTCATTGTCAAGTAATACCGTAATAATCAGTAGAGCCACCTGTAAATGATGTTACAAATGCAACGAAAAAAAAAGGGAAGTAGGTCTCATGCTTCAGATTGAGTAATGAGATGTTTTACCTTGTAGTTACTAAAATAATTATTGTACTAGTGATTTTGGCCTTCCTGGTAAGCTTTGTGATATGGTCTTATGTTTAGTGACTTGGAGGACAAAGGGACTGCTGAGTAGTTCAAGAGGACAAACCTTGTAAATATTTTCCCCTAACTATTTCTATTAAGAGTTAGGTTCTAGTTTCCTCTACCAAAATGTTAATACTCTTACATGACTTTACCCTATCATAGTGATCCATGCAGGGGATTGTTTCACAGTATTGGGTGAAATGTTGATCTATCATCCATGTACAATGTACCTTGCAAAGTAATGATTTTACTATAAATGCTTTGTAATTAATTGCTAAAGAGGCTTTTCAAACATCTTATTCCATGTGTTTTTATTATTATTATTTTTTGAATGCATACTAAAGCAGTTGACTATGCTACTCTGTCCATGTTCCTGTGGGATCGTATTAGATGTTCCATTATGGTCTTGATTCCAAAATCTTTTCCATTAGGAGTCAGGCAGAGGCACAGAAATCTACATTTTCATGTAGTCTGCTCAAAGAAATTTTATAAACTAACGGTTGTATTGCTGTTATGCAACATTGGAAACAGTCAATGTATGAAATTCTGATCTGCATTGGAACATGATTTTCAATACGCGGCCAACATAGAACGTGACACTTTGTTCTATCGAAGCAAGAAACTTTAATATCTATCCTAAAGTAAAAGAAGAAGAAAGTTCATTCAGGTTAATATTGCAGTGCATGGGCAAATTTATTCAAGATTTTCTTTACCCTCTTTGTGAATTACTTTTCATTTTTTGCTTGCTTAGTAACAAAACTGAGGCATAGAAGATAAATTCTAACGAGTTAAGACTTGAAAAGCCTTCAGGTACATTTTGAAATGCATCATACTGCAGTTATCTCTTATTTGAATGCTAAATTGGATCTGTTATATGCTTTCTCAGGAACAACTAAGATCAAGAATCTTCATGATAACATCGGTTCTGTGAAAGTCGAGTTGACCGAAGAGGATTTAAAGGAGATCTCTGATGCAGTGCCCGTCGATGATGTTGCTGGACAGAGGATTGGAGATGCAATGTACCGTACTTCATTTTACTTTTCTAATACACCACCACCAAAGAAGTGGACACCAGAGTAACTTGTTTGATGCAACAGTAAGTCCAGTTGTTACTTGTTCTCTCTTTGTGTGCCCTCTTCTTATTTGCTTTTGGTTTAGCTGGGGTTCCTTTGCAATCCACAGCTAATATTTATGGCAAAGGATTATTTTGTTACAACTTTTCCTGATACATTTTTGTTATACTGTATATTTGAATGACACGTGTCTCATGTCGTAATAAATAACAATCTAAGTTTTAAAATCTCTCTTTGCATGATGCGCTTGTCACTCTAAGAAGTTGTGTGATAAAGTGTAACATAAAAAAGTGCAACGGAAGAACTCAAACCAATATTTATGTAAGGCTTTAGGCACAACAATATACAACAAGCACCAAGTAAGAAAGGCTTTCCAAAGTTGTTCTTCCAAAGTACATCCTTTCTCTTTGTAATATCTGGATTTGTGTCATTTTTGGAGAGACAAATCAGTGCTAGCTTCTCAACGTTGTTTGAAGTGTATTGGACAAGGCCAATATAATTTTCTGGGTCTAAAATGCCAAGCATATCTTTGTGTCATCTTCTTAGAGCCGAATCAAAACTACTGGCTCATCATTGTTTGAACCACATTGAAAACCCAAACTGGTCCATCAATGCAAGCCTTAATATTGTATTCATAACTGATGAAACTGGTCCATCAACACGATATTATCATTGTAAAGTAAAAGTTGACTACATAAATAAGACAATTTTAATATGGGGGCAAATTACACTTTACCCCCTATAATTTAGTATTTTTGTACGTAACTCCCCTATAATTTTAAAAACTATACATAATCCCCTCATGGTTTGGATTAAAGTGTCAAAGTAATGGAATTCATAATTCATAATGAAGTCAACTAAAATATAAAAAAGTTTATGTAAAGTTGAAAATTATTTATTAAGCACAGGGGGGGTTGTGTGTATATTTTGAAAACCATAAAGGAGTTATATAATAAAGTATTAAATCATAAGGGGGTTGTATGTAAAGTTGAAAATTATTTATTAAACACAGGGGAGGTTATGTGTATATTTTGAAAACCATAAGGGGGTTATATAATAAAGCATTAAATCATAAGGGAGTTTTATGGTAAAATATAAAACCATACGGGGTTAGTGCGTCATGTATATTATATTTATATATTTTGATCGCTTCAGCCATTTTAATTTTTAAACAAGGGTAATTTCAATATTTTTAAAAGTTCTGTTACGAATGATCATTTCTGTCACTTTGACACTTCAATCCAAATCCTGAGGGAGTTATGTATAGTTTTTGAAACCATTGGAGGGTTATATACAAAAACACTAAACTACAGTAGGGTGAAATGTAATTTGCCCTTTAATATGTTTGGGCACAACTATATATTGTAATTGTACACTAAATGACGTGACAAATGCACTAAAAAGTGCAATATGCACAAAAACGGCACAAAACACAACTGTAACAACCCAAGGCCGCCAGTTTCAACAAGTTAGTAGTAATGATTCATGTGCCGTTTAATTATTTTTTGTAGTGTATTAAATGAATAAATTGACAAACCACATAGATTTGCCAGTGATCGTCCATGTGTCTATTTCATACAAAAATGCACTGAAGATTGCTTAGATTGTTTCTGCTAAACAAACAAAAACCCTGCCAAACAAAATGAGTTACAAGAGAATAATTTTGTTTTTGATTAATACATAGCTCAAAGTCACAACTATATGTTTCCTGAGATCATAGAATACTAATGATGCCATCATGCCAAGGACGCCAAAGAATATTAGTGATGTAGTGTTCGAAAGCAAAGATACCAATGACGTTAAAGAATATTAATGATGCGCATAGAAAAACCAGAAAAAATAATTGAAGCGTATTTCAGCCACTAAGCAGAATGTTACTAGCAAAAGTGTAGTTTGCTTTTTCTACAGCGCTTTAGTTTAAATTTTTTCCCCCCACAACTTTACTTGATAATCATTGCATGAAAAAAAATAATTGATGCATGTTTCAGCCACTAAGCAGACACAATATTGTTTTTGAGTTGACTAAGAGATGTGATGTTACTACCAAAAGTTTAGTTTGCTTTTTTATCAACTTTAGTTGATAATCATTTCATGAAAAAATAATTGAAGCATATTTCATTCACCAAGCAGACACAACAATGTTTTTGAATGGACTAACAGATGTGATATTACTTCCAAAAGTGGTCAACGACAAGTTGTGTCCAACCAACCTTTTTTTTTAATCTTTTTCTTCAAAATTCTGAAAATTTTGCATGAAAAAAAATTAAGAAAAGTTCTGGAAAAATTTAACAACTTTCTTACATCCCAATCTCAGACACAAAGATCTAAAGTATGATTTAACACTTTTTTTTTGGTTGACAAAAGAATTATCCACAGTAGAAACTTTTTTTTTTTTTTTTTTAAATTTCTTGGCAACCAATTAATGCCATGCTAAACAATTACTATGGGCAATTTAGGCAAGGATAAAAGTGGAGACAAATTAAGTATACGTCTTGTTGAAGTTCGAAAATAATACAATGGCCTCTAGCTTTTGCAAGTTGATCTACATAACTATTAGCTTAATTTTCGATGACTTCATATTGCACCATATTATGGTTATTTCCGACTAACATTGCATGGACAAGAGGTTTATTGAACATAAAAAATCTCTTTAAACCTAAACTCTTCTCCTCCTCTCTAACTTTTCCTTCCTAAGCAAATAGAACATCTTCTTTTTAGGAGGGAGGCCAATTGATTTCCTTTGGTCTTCCTCCCTCCCATGTATTTTTTTTTTTCATTTTTGTTTTGTGTGTTTATAATAAAGTCTCTCTTAAGATCTCTCAGTGAGAGTATTTTCTTTCTTAGAAATTTCTAGTGAGAGTTTTCTCCTCTTCCCTCCCATGTCCCATGTATTTTTTTTTTCATTTTTGTTTTGTGTGTTTATAATAAAGTCTCTCTTAAGATCTCTCAGTGAGAGTATTTTCTTTCTTAGAAATTTCTAGTGAGAGTTTTCTCCTCTTCTAAAATATTTTAGTAAGAGTTTCTTCTCTCTTAGAAATTTCAATCGAGACTTTTCTCCTCCCTCCCATGTATTTTTTTTTTCATTTTTGTTTTGTGTGTTTATAATAAAGTCTCTCTTAAGATCTCTCAGTGAGAGTATTTTCTTTCTTAGAAATTTCTAGTGAGAGTTTTCTCCTCTTCTAAAATATTTTAGTAAGAGTTTCTTCTCTCTTAGAAATTTCAATCGAGACTTTTCTCCTTTCCCAAGGATTTCTAGTGAGAGTTTTTATAGTTCTTCTATTTCTTGTATTATATCTATTTTTTTTCATTTTTAGTTGTTGGATCCAAGTTTCTTAAATCTATCCCACTAGATCACACATTGACATCTCGACATGAATTAGTTTATTAGCATATCTAGAAGGAAAGCAAGCACAGATGATTTTTGAGCTACAAGTGTTTCGTCTTTGGATATATTAAAAGGTTCACAATGTGATGGTCTATTGAATTATTAGATTTGTAGCATCAAGTATTTGTTCTTTAGATCTATTTGTATTCGTATGTGGTTGATGTGTCTCTGTTTAGATTAACTGTTTTTGGGGGTGTTTTGAAATATTTTGCTGTAGTAGTGTATATGAAAAACTTTTATTAAAAATGTTTATTGAAATATTTGATATATTGTATGAATCAGATATTTTTTGAAGTGTTTTTATTTGTGTATTATCGTAACATTGTATTTGAAAAACTTATTTGTGAAAAATAAGCCAATCCAAACGGTAAATTTTGAACATAATATGAAATTTGATTTTTCTAAAGGTGTCCAACTTTGACAATGAATAACAACGTGTAATTTATTTACAAGTATACTCATATTTATTTTTCTCTTTGAATGTTAACACTTCCCATTTTTAACTAAAAGAAAAAAAAAAAGCACTAGGCTCATTGGACACTGCCTTTATTTTTCGGAAAGGCAATAACTCGTAAAAGTTTGGAAAGTTTATTTTTCTCTTTGATGAGTTTAATCTAGTTTCTTCTTTTCGAAGGTCCCCAGCTTGATGCCCTATCTCATATATATGTCCTCTAAACTTGCTTTGCTCTGTTATTAAACAGGATGGGGCAGGAATTATGGGAGGGATTTAAATTGCTCAATTCGAAATTGTAAGGCAGAAATCATTCGACGAATACCTTTACTGAAGCAATGTAATCATTTATCACGGGTTTATAGACATGTATAATACAGAAACTGTGAGCACTTGTAAAATCTCTCATATTTTTTCTTAAAATTCCCTTTTATTTGGAATCCATTACTTTATAATAACTATACTACCCATTTACCTCCCCAAAGGTTGGAATAAATAATGGAATTAAGAGTTTTCCTTTTTCTTTCATCATTAGGGTAAACTAGAGTTTTTACGTCTTTCGGTAGTGTGATTACTCGGTACGGAATGTGTACTAAATTTAGTGGTTAAGAGTGAGTTTTAGATAAGAAAGTGTGTGATTAAAAGTAATAATAATAAGTTAGTGAATTATAAGTGAAAACCCTAATACATGCGAGTTAAGAAAAAACGGTGTGAACCGACATGTACCGTTCGCTACCGATGGAATACACCACTTTACCACCACTTTATTACCTTAATATCCTTGTTATTATTTCAGAAATATCAACCCTTAATTATCCTAGAGAGGGCCGAAAATGTTGACCAAAAAGAAAGGAAAAAGAAGAAAAATTAAAGACTTAACCTTGTAGTGACAAGTGGCAACCATCCAAGGGTTGTTTGACCAACCAATTTCCTTCATTTTTATCACCAAATTCACTTCATTTCCTCTTCATTTCTGCATATTTCAGCCGAGCTTGAGGAGAGAAAACACGAAGTGAGAAAACACCAACTTCCACCTTGAATCATCTTAATTTGAGAGAAAACAACCAAGCCAAATCGATTAACCTTTCCTTTTAGTGTTTGGAAGACTTGGGGTGCTGAAAGTTTGGGAAGAAAGGAGTGTGGTTTGCACTCACAAGCAATTTTTGTAAAGTATCATGGCTCTTTTTCTCTTCTTAATCTTGCTAAAGTTTGGATAGAAACTCTTAATCTTGGTTTATGATGGTTAATTAGTGAGTTTTGCATGATATGGTGGAATGTTTAGCTAGGGTTTGATATTTTCAGTTGTGATTCTTGTTTTATCTAGTATATGATATTGATGAGCTTGGATAGG